CCTTCCTTCCTTCCTTCCTTCCTTCCTTTTATCCTTAGCACCTAAGAATCTGCTCCATGGAGCCAGTTTGGGTGAATGTAAGGAGATGCCTAAAGTAGATTATTTGTTATACAATGATACTTGGTTGCCTAAATGTAAAATTAATATCATAAGGAAAGAAAAAAGGCATAATCCTAATGCTTTTAAAAATGTACAACCATCTCATATCATGCCAACATGTCTCCTGATATAAAAGGCCCTTCTGTGACCTCACTACCCTTCATAATCATTTGCAAAAAAAACACACTGGACTCTACTTTCATGTCATTGTCTCCCTGCCTCACATATATGATTCTACATGAGTTTTAAAACCTTCTCTCAACCCCAGGATTTAGACCTACTAACCTTAGGTTTCACTAACCAATTCCATTCGGTTTTTGTAGTAGCATCTGTACTATAGTCCTCAAGCATCTTATAACATGCTCTTTCATGAGCATGTTTTGAAGAAAGTGACCAGTCTGTTACTATTGAGGGATCCTAATGTAAGCTCACTTCTCTACTGGCACCTTCCTTGCTCACCGGAGGTTAGGGAGGAGAAATACTGTGAAAAGACTGGTCAATTTAAGTCTGGCCAATGAAGCAAATAAACAATGCCACAGTTTCATTTTTATCAAATGAAAAATGATATCACTTCCTTGACAAAGTAAACTTCTTAAAAGACTGAAAGAAGGGGAAAATTTTATGAACTTTGACTTCACATTTGAGTTCTTGAGATATTTACCTTCTGACCTTAAAATCTCCAATGTCCAAACGCTGCCCTTCTATATAACTGTCCCCTCTGTGTGAAGGCTCCTCTGCCTCCTCTAAGAGCACAGATAGCAGCTCAGTGCGGAGTCGGTCTCTGGCTCCCCAGGCTGCACCATCTCCCACAGCAGCTTCAGGACTTTTAGCGTATCCGTGATTACAGCCTTGTCATATTTGCACTGCTGTATTCGCTGCACTAATTTTTACTTACTTTGTGTCTTTAACTTATTTTATTTTTAACTTATTACATATGTTTTAAAAGGAAGTTTTGTGTCCGTGCCATAAATAGATGGTAATTTGAAAAAAAAACTAATTTAATGAAAACCATATCGTATCGTTAAATTCTTTCTCAACATAGTTATCTGCTGAAGACTCTGATTCTCAGGCTTGCCTTCTATTTCTCAAAAAGGAAAATGTTAGCTAGTTCTTTGTTAGCACCAGCCTGAGACCTTCTTCTCGATTTAATTAGAAGCCTCCAAAAACCTGAAAGTAAGTGGGTTTTCTCATTTTGGCATTCGGTTTCGATATGCCTCCTAACATTATCCTGTACACACTAATGCACAGATCCTCAACCTGGGAAACACTGGTTGAATGTTGTCCAAGGCCTCGGCCAGCTATAAGAGTTTATTATATTGCAAGTCAGTAATTTTAGTTTACAGACACGCACACACACACAAGACACAAACATGTTGTAGGAAGAGCTGATTCCTCTCTCTATTCCATGACCCTGGGTAACTTGTTCAGACACGGCAAGGTAATAAGGAAGTGTGAATAAGAACGAGGATTCAACTGGTCAACTTGATTTGGTTGTTGCAAAAGACCTGTATCTAACAATCAAATTGAAATCTCAATCAAACCTATTTTTGGCAGAGCTGTGCAGCAAATGCTGGGATTAGTTTAACAAAGTAGAGAATTGATGCAATTTTGGTAAAACTGCCAAACTTACTCAAGCATCTTTAACTTGTTCTAAGTGTTTAGTGACCATTTACCTGGTGGAAGTGGATGTTTTTAAAACTGAAATGAATAGCTATTTCCATTTATAATTTTGTTTCCATTTGTTTTTTGTTATAAGTTTGTACAATTACACACAGAGTAAAACGTGAGTTCAAAACCTTTGCTTCTTTCTTCGTAGTGTGCTTCTAGAGTTACACGAATGACCAAAGCTTATCATCTCTTTGTTATCCAGCATGAAGTAAAATGAACAATTAAAGCTGACCCACATAGAGTGTAGCAATGGAAAATTGGTGCAAAAATTCAGTTAATTTTTGTCTTCTACTGTAAACATAAATACCATCATGGCAACTGAGTTATCAATATTTTAAAAATGTATTTTGTATTGATTTCAGAGAGAGGAAGGGAGAAGAAGAGAGAGATAGAAACATTAATGATGAGAGAGAATCATCCATTGGCTGCCTCCTACCCGCCCCCTACTGGGGATCAAGCCTGCAACCCAGGCATGTGCCTTGACCAGGAATTAAACCGTGACCCCCTGATTCATGGGTCAACATTCAACCACTGAGCCACACCAGCTAGGCAAGATATCAATATTTTTTTAATAGTCCATTTTACTTGGCAGGAGCAGTAAGGGGCTCCATCTATCTTCCTGAAATGTAGAAGTAGTATTTTTCACAGAGTTAAAGTTGGTGCTAGTCCTTTCAGACACTAACTTCTGAATGGGAGATAGGTGGCTCACCTTTACGAAAACCAGACTAAAAAAAATCACTGCAGCACTTTCCACTGTGAGAGAGAATTTTCAGTTATTGCAGGCTTCTGCTGCTCCCTGTTGTCTTCACCTACTTAATTCCCATATCACTTTGCTTAGAAAGCAAGGAACATGGGCCAGGTCCATAGTTGCCAGGCAAATTACCATACCCACAATATCTGCAAAACCAGACTCTGGGTTGGGATCTTGAAATTCAGTGGCTTGGTGTTTTGGAGAGCATGGGCCTGGGAACCTGGAGACCTGGATTTCAGGTTCAGAGTCACCACTAAGTGGATGACATTGAATGATTCTACAGTATTGTCTTCATTGTCTCCTTTCCTAAAAGAAAGAGAGAGGAGGGATCTATATAGCCATTTCTTGCTTTAACATCTTCTGATTCTAATTCCCATAGTGTTACAGTGATATCTGGCTTTAAAAATAATGTTCAATAATCTCAAACTTTAGGATAGCAACCCAGTCTTAGAGGTTTAAAAAAGAATAGGCAGCATAAACTCTCATTAACAAGTCACGCACTTTATTAAGGAATTAATAATAAACTCACAATTAGATATGTGTTTTCGATTTGCTAGTTAGCTCATTGATTCTGCTGTATATTGACCCTCAGAAAGTTAAAGAATGATAGATGTGAACCTAACCATTAAGTAGCTGATCTTAGAACACACCTGCATTATATTTTATTGATTGCATTTCATTTTCATTGTAGTGTGATTAAAATTCCAATGAGATAAATACCTTCTTTTATGTGAGACCCCAGAGAACAGCAGCGTTGAAAGATATATCACAAAAATAAACACTGACAACTACCCAACAATTATGCATAAAAAGCCTGTGAGTGACTAGGCTGATATAGGCCTTCATGTAAAACCAGTGACTCACACCGAGCGTCATGAGAAGAACATATTTCCACAGATATGCAGAATATTCCCAACCTAGAAGCCGAGCTAAGAAAATGCACCCAAAATATTATGTACTTAAAGTTTTTTCTTTTCCACAACAGCTCCATCCTATAACCTGAAACTAAAATCCAAAAACTGTGTTTTTCAAGCATTTTGTCAAAACCAAAGGGTTATCTTTATTTATTTAAAATTTGAGCCAAAATGTGATGATTTATCATCACAGTTTTTAACTCTAATATTCTTCTCTTTTCCAAGAGCAGTAGTCTGACTTTAAGAAAGGTGCCCTACCTGGTTTGGCTCAGTGGATAGAGCCTCAGCCTGCAGATTGAAGGGTCCTGGGTTCAATTCCAGTCAAGGGCAAATGCCTAGGTTGTGGGCTCGATCCCCCGTCAATGATTCTCTATCATCACTGATGTTTCAACCTCTCTCTCCCTCTCCCTTCATCTCTGATATATATATATATATAAAATATATATAAAAAATATATATTTTTAAAGAAAGGTAGCAGGTGATAGTATTTTCAGCCAGCCAATATCTGCTGGGATTGGGCCTTTCTAAATAGGTACGTCAATAGGAGTCGAACTCAGCTTATTATTAAAGTTATTCCAGAGAAGCGATCTTCAGTTTAGTGGAGTTCTCATCTCCTGATTATTCATTCAACAAACTATTGGGGCCTACTATGTATTGGCACATCCTAATCTCCTCATGTTATTTCTTACTAAACTGTATTTTTTCAATGAATCAAATATAAAATATCTAGCAACTCAAGCTTGGAACCATATTTTAGAGTTCGAATATCAGTCTGAAGCTAGAAATCATGAGAAAGCATTCTCTGCCCGAGATCCCCAGATCTCCTTCAACTCCTCTCTGACTCCCTTTCCCTGAATTACACGCATCCATGCCTGGTTTTCTTCAGAGGGAGCAAACAGTGTAACGAAGACTAAGAACACTGGCTCCATGGTCAGACACATTTGCTTTTTTTAAAGCTTCATTTCAATGGTTGACACTATTACAGATGTCCCCATCCCCCCCACACACACTTTTGCCCACCTCTACTCAGCCCTCCCCTCTGGCCATCACCACACAGTTGTCTGTGTCTATGGGTTAAACATATATGTTCTTTGGCTCCTCACTTTCCCACTTACTAGATATACAACTTGGCAAGTTTTTAAAACCTCTTTAAGCCTACGTTTCTGATCTAAGTTGAAAATAATAATATCCTACTCAAGGTTGCTGCAGGGATAAAATAAGATAATGTGAGTAAAGCTCTTAGTACTGCGTCTGCAAATGATAAGCACTGAGGAAAATGTAGCTTCAATTTAATCTTGTCATTAGCAGAGCACAGAGTTGACAGATGAACTAAGATTTATTAAGTTCCAAATACTCCTTGGGCAAAAAAAGGTTCTAGAAATTACCCTCTCCCCATTCTCTCTACCCACCCCCACCTCACTAGTTTCTTCTTTATGAATTTGAGAACTAATTCTCTACCTTGTGTACCATCTTTCCCTTCATCTCTTCTTTTTAATTCCTCATGATTCATTTTAGAAATATCACTGTATATCATACAACCGTTACCAGAGAAAAAGTGTAAAAGAAAAAGAGTAAAGATTCAAATCCTTACCTTAAAGTTATTTATTAGTAAATATTTCTAAGTGGTGAAATTACTGATGATTTTTGTCCTCTTGACTTACACCTTTCATATTTTCCAAATTTCTACATTGGCATTACTTTTATAAGGAAAAAATGTGTTTTAAAAAGTGCATGTGTGTGTCTAAGTACATAGCTGGGGAAGTCACCTTGTTCAAGTCAGTAGAGATGTGGTTAGATGAGGATTGTCTAAAATAATTGCAGCATGCATGAGTACTTAAATAAAATTATTCTAGCCAAAACCGGTTTGGCTCAGTGGATAGAGCGTCGGCCTGCGGACTGAAGGGTCCCAGGTTCGATCCCGGCCAAGGGCATGTACCTGGGTTGCGGGCACATCCCCAGTAGGAGATGTGCAGGAGGCAGCTGATCGATGTTTCTCTCTCATCGCTGTTTCTAACTCTCTATCCCTCTCCCTTCCTCTCTGTGAAAAATCAATACAATATATTAAAAAAAATTATTCTAGCTATAACCCAGGACTCTGTTTAGAAGACATTGGTTTAAATCCTTGTACTACAATGATTTAGTAGCTTTATGACCTTAGTCACTTAACCTTTCTAAGCTTTATTTTTCACATCCATAAAATGGGGTACTAATACCATTCTTCAGTAAATCCTTGAAGATTGAGATTGCACATAAAAAAATGTATGATATATGACCCAGATTTAGAGCACAGATGACTTATAACTTGATGAGATTCTAAATGCTTTTTAAAAAAGAATTAACCAGAGCCCTGGCCGGAGTGGCTCAGTTGGTTGAACATCATCCATGCACTGAAAAGTTGCTGGTTCAATTCCCCATCAGGGCACATGTCTGGGTTGCAGGTTGTGGGCTGGGTCTCCAGTGTGGGGCGTGCAGGAGGCAGCTGATCCATGTTTTTCTCTCACACTGATGTTTTCTTCTCTCACCCTTTCCCTTCCTTTCTCTCTAAAATCAATAAACACACACACACACACACACACACACACACACACACACGTTTAAAAAATAATAATTAACCAGAAAATTTAGATTAAAAATTCTGGCACATTATCTCATGCATTTTCATATCTGAAGCATATCATGGTAAAAAGTTAATGTAGTATTGTTCTCACAGTTCCCTCCCAAACTAGCTCCTTTTCTGGGAGACAAAATTGTTCCCATTTGAGAACCACTGCTCTACTTTGCTCATGTCCCATAACAATAGCACTCTGGGGTTGCATAACTGGTCTATATAATACTACTAATAGAAATAACTACTTTTGGAAATATTTACCCTCAATTTCGTGTTTAAATTCTAAAATTCTTATAATGCATCTCCATGTAATTTCCAGAGAGTTGTACAGGAGAATTCAGAACGTGTAGCATTTATATCTCAGATATTCTCCAAATAGGAGAATGGTTCATGTTTGCCTTGTTTAAAGTTATTATTCATTATTAAATAAAAAGGTCTCCCTCACCACCAAACCTCACTGTGGAAAGTAACTTTTTTTAATGACCTCTTTAAAAATTTAGTTAATTGCATTCATTATGCATTTTTACATATTTTCTTCTTGTTTGTGTACAGCACACATTAATTGTAGTGTAGAAGGAAGATACACTTTGTATCTGATACTGTCTGTAATCCATACCAATACATTCACTAATATATTCATTAAATGTTAAATAATTGAGTATTGTGTGATTTTATAGTGAATAAATCTTTAGTAGATCATTATAGAGATGTTTACAAGTGTTTAATGATGATTAGGGAACTGGTTGGGGTTTTGCATGTCCTAAGAACACAGTATTATTTTTCCCACTTAAAATAATGAAATATTTTCTCTTGCTATACAAAATTTTGCTTTCCCACATGTTTTGGAAGTGGGTTAAATCCAGATAATTAAAAATGTCTATAATTATAGTACTTGAGTATTTATTGTGTTAGGCTTTGTGCTAAACATTTTATAGATATTATT